GGCTGGCTAATAAAGTTCTTTTGCTGTTGCACATGTGTTGCTGGAAAAACGAATCCTCCTGAGCAGGGTTCAGTGTTGGACGGGCTGAGGATTCTAGATATGTTCAATTGGGCTGAAATTTGGATATGTTATACTAGACACCCATTGGAACAACTTGTATGAAGAATGTATACCCATCTGAGCAATACAAGTGTATGTTTTGGGCCTTGCAAGTGGACTGCCGAAAATAGACTGGAATTGACTTCATTGCAGTTAGCTTGTGGGCTTGTTTTGGGCTTGATCTTCCCTCCTACAAAATCTGGAAAACTATGGATCTTGAAGCTCTTTGAATTATCTTTCCAAGCATATGCAGTCCAGCTCAAGGAAAAATCGGAAAGCCCTTCAAATGTGTTATTTGGCCCAGTAACGCAGATGCTGTAGAATTTGACCTTAAGTTGCCAAAACTTGTATAACTTTCTCTAGAAGACTCGGAATCATGAACCCTAAAATTATCCAGAAACTAGACTTCCACATCTTTCCAATGATGTATGGCTCGTTATCTGGTTCTTCTTGAGCAAGTACAGTCCAATCCGTGAAGTTGACTGATCTGCAAACACCAATGAGCCAACTTGTCTCCAAAATGCATTTAATGAGTCTCAAGCTTATTACATTGAAACAAACACAACACTTATTAAAAGCACAAGTTTAACTCAAAAACATAACCAAATCATAAGTTAGAAGGATACAAAATGACATGTAATTATGCACCGATCAATGATCGTACCTTAGCAACTTTCTTTTGTCTTCAGGAGGGCCAAATATCTTAGCGAAACGCTGCGTTTGAGCAAATGCCAGGGCCGAGAAAATGGGCTCCTTCGGTCAGTTCATGGCCGTAATTTATTAGGCACAAACAGGTGCTCGACTGAGATGGAGTGCATGAACTAGGTGTCCATCGTTGATCCTAGGCTTGCCAGCACATCTGTATAAGTGTTTTTTGCTCGAGAAACTTGTTGGATGGTAAAGTTCTGAAATGCCTTCAAAAAATTTTGGACTTTGTCGAGGTATTGGATCATTCTTGGGTGTTTTGCCATGTACTCCCTTGAGGCTTGATTAGTGATGAGTTGGGAATATGAAAAAAAAAAAAAGGCTAACCTTTTGATTGACAATTCTTTTGCTAAGCACAGTCCAACGAGCAATGCCTTGTATTTAGCTTTGTTGTTTGAGGCCGAGAAGCCAAGTGTGATAGCTTTGTTGTTTGATGCTCCATCTACACACAACTGCCACAACCCTTCATCTACACATAACTGCCACATGTCTTTGGGTTGGTTAGGTTTTGCAGAGGAGTTCTCATTTCCTTTCGAACTGTCCTATAAAGGCTTGAGCTTTTATAGCAGTCTTTGTCTGGTAGACGATATCTAATTGACTCAATTCGATAGTGCATTTCATGAGTTGTTGAGAGGCATCGGGGCTATGAAGGATCGATCTCAAAGGAAATTCGGCCATGATTATAATTCGGTGAGCTACATTCTCGCGGAAACTACATGGACCAAAATGAGTTTCTCCATTTTTGGATAGAGAGTCTCTGCATCGAGGAGAGCCTTTGACATGTAGAATATCGGTAGTTGTGCCCCCAACTCTTCTCGGATGAGGTATGAGTTGACTCCCGAGCTGGACACTGCTAGGTAGATGAACATGTCTTCATTGGGTTGAGGCTTCGAAAGCATGGGAGGTGAAATGAGATATGCCTTTAAGTCTTGAAAAGTTGCTTCACACTCTTCGTCTCATTTGTCTATTTGTCCTTCCTTCAAGGTTTTGAAGAATGGCATGCACTTGTTGGTAGATTTTGAAAGGAATTGGTTGAGTATTGCTGCACTGCTTGTGAGGCTTTGAATTTCTTTCGTGGTGGAAGAGAACTTCATCTTGAGAATGGCCTTGATTTGGTTGGGGTGAGCCTCGATACCCCTTTGGGTAACTAAGTACCCCAGGAATTTGCCAAATGAGACTCCAAATGTTCACTTGATTAGATTCAACTTCATTCGGTATTTTCGGAGTAAGTTGAAGGTTTCGACATGATTTTTGATATGATCTGCTAGTTGAGGAGCTTTGACCAGCATATCATCGACATAGACTTCAATGGTTTTTCTGATCTACTCCTTGAAGATTTTTTTCACGAGCCTCTGGTAGATCAGAGGTTGAATCCATGAACTGATCAATCCTTGGCAATGGAAAGCTGTCTTTTGGGCATGCTTTGTTGAGCTTCATGTAGTCTACACATACCCTTCATTTCCCTTGGCCCTTCTTTGCCTCCAGAACAACGTTAGCCAGCCATTCAGAGTAAGAGATCATCAAAGCCGGCCACTAGGAATTTATCTATCTCGGCTTCGATGATGGCAATTAGTTCTGGAGCGAAGTTGCGTCTCTTTTGTGTGGCTGGTTTGTTGGCTGAGTTGACATGGAGCCTATGGCAGATGACTTGTGGGTAGATGTCAGGCATGTCAAATAGTGACCATGCGTACACGTCTTTGTTGTTATGGAGGAAGGTGGTCAGCTCCACTTCTTCTTCTTTGCTAAGGCTCGAGTCGATCCATGCTTTTCTTTCTAGCTTGTTAGGATCAAGATCTATCAATTCGATATCCTCTTCGGGCCTCCATCCTTCTTCATGATCCGGGTTTTTTAATTGCTATTGAAGAGTGGTTGTTTCTTTTCCCTTATGGCCGGCTAGACTTACGGGAATGAAATCCACCGCCTCATTGGCTTGTTCTTTTCCCTTCTGGTCTGCTCGACTTACGAGAATGAATTAGGCTTGCTTGCTTTCCTTCAAACCTTGGGCTGAACATCTTCTAGCCATTGCCTGATCGAAGTTGATATGCCCGATGCCGCCCCCCAGGATGGGGTAACGTATCTTTTGATGAGTAACAGATGTTATGGCATTGATCTTGCCAATCCATGGTTTGCCCAAAATGCCATTGTAGGGGGAGATTTTGTTGATGATCATAAAGGTCTGTGAGCTAATCATAAAGGTCTGTGCCTGGTAGGATTGTTGATCTTGTTTTCCATGCCCATCTATTAGACAACTAAGTATTGCAGTATATTGGCTGCACTGCCCTCGTTTACATGGATTCGGTCGACTATCGCTTGTGCAACTTGGATGCTAATGACCAAGGCATCATTGTGTGGCAGATCAAGTTCGAATTGGTCTTTTTCTGGAAGCCTATAACGGGATCGTCCTCTACTGTTGGGTAATTGGTGTGGACTTGGGAGATTATAGTTACCTACTCAATCTTCTTTTTCTTCTCCTTGCTTGTCTCTCTAGAGTTAGCTAGGATTGTGTTGATCCTTATGACTTTTTATGGAGGTTCTTTAGCTGCATCACGATCCTCGATATGATGAAAAGCTTTCTTCACCACAAATTCGGTGCAATTTTCATCTCTTACCAGCTCCTCAAGATGTATTTTCCAAGACGTGCAATTGCCAGTATAGTGGTCATGTATTCCATGGAAGGCACAATATTTGGAGGTGTCCCTTGTGGCAGGATCAGATTTCAGAGGCGGTGGTGTCTTCAGCCATGATTTGTCTTTCACCAAAGCCAGGATTTGATGTTTTGGATTTTCCTTTGCATTTTCCTCCTTCGTTCGCATGGTACGATTCGGTATTTTTCTATCCTGCTCCCTTTGGTGACTAGTCAGCTTGTTTGACGACTTATTCGCGGGGATTCGATCGTCATCCCAAAGTGCATAACGTTCTGCTGTTGCGAAGACATCAGCAAAGGTTTGCCTGGGAGTGATGCTTAACTCACAGTATAAGTTATGTTCGATCAACAATCCTTTCTTGAACTCAGAGGATGTGATTCGATTATCGAACCCCACAATGTTGGATTTTTCCGCCTTAAACCTAATGGTGTAGTCTTGGAGAGACTCATTGTGCTTTTTCTTCAAGTTGAAGAGGTGGTCAACCTGCTTCTTGATCTCCCGATAGGAAGTATACTCCTTCATGAAGTCGAGGGCTAACTCTCTGAAGCTGCTAATCGTCTTGGGTGCCAAGGTATGAAACCAATCTTGGGCTACCCCTCCCAAGGTCATAATGAACACTTTACACATGAGTGCTTCGTCACATTTGTGAAGTATCATGACACTCTTAAAGTGTTTAAGATGGCTCTCGGGATCGGAATCTCCTTGGAACTGGCTGCTTGATCTCGTTAGTGAACTGTGAAGAGTTCACTTGGTCTACTTCTCAGTATATGGCGTCTTCTAAATCTCCTCCGACCCTAAGGCTGCAAAGTCGATCATTCATGAGCTTCTCAAAATTCTCCATTCATATCGCTTGCAGTTCTGGCTGAGGACGTCTTTGGTGTTGGCGTCATTGGTCAACTTCCTCATCAGCTGACGGGGTTTGTGCTCTTCGGTTGCTGGCATGGCGTATTGGAGGATTGAGCTTGTGAAGGGTCGGCCATTTGCCACATGTAGTTTGGAATCTGCTCTTCCAATATGAGCAAGCGAGTGTCTTCCCTCACGTTCCCTATGCGGGGGGCTCCGAGGCTGATGTCCTCGCGAGCCTACCTTAAGTGGATATTTCCCTGCAGACCCAAGTGAGCATAGACATCGGATTGTGCCCCCAGCCTTGAATGCACATTAGTATGTGGGCTTAGCCTCGAACGAATGCTCATCCTGGTCTGATTAGCAGGGTCATGTCCTCCTCCTTGCCTATTGGCCCTTGGTTGATCTCCTTGGGATCTTTCAAGTTGTTTGCCTTTGTGTTAACTCATCCTTTTCTCCTCTGCTTCGAATCTTGGTCGAAAGTCTTGGACCAAGTCTATCTGCCTAAGTCAGCAAAAACATCTTGACATAACTGAACATTTAAAACAAATCATAAACTTCCTACGTGCCCTTATTGGGGGATCAAGCCACACGTAGTTATTTCTACCACACATCACAATTAAGATAATACAGAAATGTTCAAAGTGAAACTATTAATAAAATTCTAGAATCATTCTTTACCTTGATTTCAACAAGCTATATAATTGAATATCATGCCCTGAAATTATGTACCTAACTATTCAATGAGTTTATCATTGTACATCCAAACACATATGTACCACACATTTAACATGAAATACATACCTACGACCGTCCGCATAGTGCATATGTCCTGTAATCACCCACCAATGGGTATATGGGAATATCATTAAATCCAAAGACGGTCGGGGAGGGGAAACTAGCCAACCCCCTGTGTAGACAAGTCGGGTAGGTGGCTAGGGATCCTGGCCAACCTTGTGCAGACAATATGAGCAGGGTGGCGAAGAATACTGAAACACTGTTGAAATGATAATTTTTATTAAATAAATAAATAAAGTACAAGGAAAAAAAAAAAAAGGCTGGAAATTTTATTAAAAGTGAATGACAACAATAATAATTCATCCCACATGTGTTTCAAAGGAATAAAAGTTCTTTTGATGCAATGGTTGTACTTAGAGTGTTTGTATCAAACACTAAGGCCAAGGAGTGATAGTTCACTCAATCTCAAACTCCTCAAGACACAGGGCCTATAAAAGAGCCAAAATGGGGATTCTTTTCATTTTTTGCATTAAAATCCTCAAATACTCATACTGAACCCTAGCCATCTCCTAAAACAACCTCTCGAGCACTGCACAGACCTTAAGGGGGGAGGAGGTCATAGTTCCTCCTCCTGCCGTCTCCTCTCTTCCTCCTCTCTTCTTTGACGCACAAATCTCCATCCCCTCCCCTACTTTTCCCTCTCTTATCCTCGCATCTCCTCCCCACGTTGATTTGCTTGGGGACAACGTGGCTACCTTTGTTGTTTTTGTTGGGTTGTTCTGCAAATTTGGGTTTCAACTTTTGATTTACCTTGTATGTTTTAGTTTTTGTGTTGTAATAAGTGTATCAACTCTTTTAGAGTTTGTTGCATTTTGTAGTATCTACTTGTAATCTTTTACTTCTGAGAGTTTAAAGATTGTAGTTTGCACTTGCAATTGGGTAACATTTCCCAATTCCACAATGAAAATACCATCTCATGAATATTACGGCCCCTCCGAGTTATGGGGGTCGATATACTATCCCATATATCAACACGTTGCAAATCCAAGAGGACTACCACGAGGAACAAATGACCGTTCGCTTTGTCCTCTATTGTGATAAATGCCTGCATAAATAGGATGGTTATAAGGCGGTGACAAATATATATATATATATATATATAGTAACAATATTGTTAACAATACAATCTAATAGTGTCAACCAATTTCGCAGCACGTATAAAATCTTGCATATATTTTTGTGTCCGTATCCTTGATATTAGTTTTGAAATATCCCTACTACTACCGCACATTCCAAAACCTGACTCTGCAATATGAAGAACCATACTTAGAATACAGGCACTACTACAAAATAGTTAAACAACGACACAAAAAAGACGACATTGCATCTATAAACCGTCGTCATATTTTAAAAGACGACAGTTTTATAAAACCGTCGTTATATATTATCTTACACACTGCTAAAATGGGTTTGATTTAAAAAACACGACGCTTGTCAATTAACAAGCGTCGTCTTTCAAAATGCGCTAAACGAAAAGAGGCACTTAAGTGAATTCGCGATCTTAAATTTTTCAGATTTCTCCCCATCGCTCGAAAAAATCTCTCTCTCCTTTGGAAACCCTCAACAACTCTCTGGATCTCCCTCAACCCTCTCACCTCTGAAGCACTCATCTCTATAATGTTCACTGTCGTCCTCACCAAGTTTGCTGGCATAGGAGTCGGAGTTTGCAATTTAACGTTTTAGGCCACTTAAGCCCCTTGGATGCCGTCGACACTGAGCTCGCTGGCATATGAGGTCACAATCTCTTCCTCTTCTTCTTCTCTCTAGCTATGGTTTATTGTATGCATCAATTTAGGGTTCTTCAATTTGAACTAGTTTTTATCAATTAATTTTGGGGGGTTAGGGTTTTCGATGTCTGATTTTTGGTTTAATAATTCGTGTCCGATGCGATTAGTATCAGATCTAGAAACAGTGAAAATAAGAATGGAGCCCTCTGATTTTTGGTTTAATAATTCGTGCCAAATGGCTCACTCGACGCTCGTGAAAGAGTTGAAGCACTCTGACTCTGCTTTCGGTTCTGACAACTCAAAGGTATGAGGACGACGAAGTAATTTTTGGGTTTTTCCCCTCTTTTGGCTTCTAAACGAATTGTTTTGATGATGGTTCTGATTTGGGGTTCTCTTTCTGCAGAGCTAGGTCGTTTTCGGTTCACCCTAATCGATGTTGTGCCCAGCTGGATGTGGCTGTGGCTGTGGCTGTGGGCTAGGCTCGAGCCGTGGAAGTCCAAACCCAACAAGCAAAATTCGTGTTCTTCTTCATTGGAGTTAGTTGGTCACATCATTAACATTTTCTACCCCAAAAATTTTTTTTTTTTTTTTTTTTTTCAGTTTTCAAGCAAAACCCAACAAGCAAAATTAGTGTTCTTCTTCATTGGAGTTAGTTGGTCACATCATTAACATTTTCTGGGTATAGGTTGCTGTGATGTTGAAGCTTATTTAATGGGTTGCTCTGTTTTTGTTTTTTCAGATCTGGGTATTGTTCTAAGTTTTCGAAGGCATTTATATGGTCTCAGTTGTGAATTTATTTTGGTGGGCTCATTTATAATTTTCTGTCCTTGTGTTTTACAGGTTGCTCGACAGTTCTTGTCCCAGCTAGAGTTGTGCAGGCACTGAAGCTGAACATTGATGATATGTGCGCACCTCAACCGCCCCCACCTTCAGCGTCGTTTCAATGCAAGCTACAACCCTGGATATGGTAAATCCTAGATACCCTTCTTCTTTTCACTGTTTCTAGCAATCTTTACTTTTACCAAGTTGATTTTTAATGTGTGTAGCTAATTATGTTTATATATCTTAATTTGGTTTTAATGGAATTTTTAATGCAGGTTCCTCAAGTGCTTTTCACACTGCAATATTCATTTTCCCAACTGGGTTTCCTATATGGGATTCTATTTCAGCTTTGTTATGGGTTGGTGGAAAGCTGGACTGCTTATCTCATCAGTCTGCTATATGCTCGGCACTTGCAAAAAGGTGAGCTTTGATATACTTGAGGTTTTGTTTGCGTTGTTGTCAGTCTAACCATGACATGTAGTTCTTTGATGAGGAGAATTTTTAATGGAGTTTCCCATTCGATTTAATGATATTTTTCCATATCTTGTTTGTCTTCCACTCTCCTAACGAATAGGGTAATACTACAGGTCACAAATTCAAAAGATGACACTGTAATTCTTGATGGTGTTGGTGACAAGAAGGTTATTGATGAAATATCTGAACAGGTTACTGTTGCTTCATTGTGAAATAGTGTTAGTCCAATTTGTAACTGTTGTCATCAATGGTTTGCATTTTGTTATATATTTCAAAACAAAAGTTATAAAAGAAAATGATTTTCCTCTTTGTTAATTGAGAATCATCTGCAACTATGATTTCAGATCTGCACATAACCTGTTGCTGATATTGCTGGGAGGGGAATAAAGCAGCTTGGAAAATGTGCAAGAAGGCAAAGCCAACTCATACACCAAAGAACAAATTGATGAAGTTAAAATCAAATTAGCAGAATTTGTGAGCTCCATTATTTCTAATTATAGGTAGGAAGTATGTATGTAATAGAACAAAAATTGGTTGACTATGTAATAACTATTGAATCATCAAGTTTTATGAAAGAAATAATTTTTGAGTGTATGTATTCATTAATACAGCATTATAATTGGTTTTCTAGTTTAAATTGTTGTATATAATCATAGGAAACAAAAAACTAAAAATGTAACAGCTTGGGAACTTATTAGATGACAAATTTAAAGATAATAAAACGATGGTTTTATTGGAAAAATCGTCGTCTGTACACATTATCAATGACCTCTTTTAACACCATACCGTCTTCTTTATATACAATCAACGATGTTTTTGAACAAAACCGACGTCTTTGGATATAATAAAACACAATACTTTTAAAAAAAAAAAACCGTCGTCTTTACACCTAATAGACGACGGTTTTTCTCAAAACCGTCGTCTATTTCATATAATAGACGACGGTTATTACTCAAAACCGTCGTCTATTACATATAATAGACGACGGTTTTTCTCAAAACTGTCGTCTATTAGGTGTAAAGATGACGGTTTTTTTGAAAAAACCGTCGTCTATTATATGAAATAAACGACGGTTTTGAGAAAGAACCGTCGTCTTTACGAATAATAGACGACGGGGATTTACCGTCGTGGTTTTATGCATCAAAAGACGTCAGTGGATTTCACGATGGTTGAAAAATCGAATACACGACGGTGGATTACCGTCGTCTATTGCAATTTTTGTAGTAGTGAGGGTTAACGAAGGGAAACCGACGAAACTCAATGTACACAGAAATTAAGGGGAATGTAAGCCTTTTTTGAGTCAACATCATGCAAATAAAACATCACCATTGTCAGCATCTAAAACAAAGTACAAGGATCAAGTTAGGCATTCCTTCTACTATGTATATGAAAAACATGCTTCGTATTATATACCTCACCGATGATAGGTTTACAAGGACCAAGACACTCCATGTTGCCTCGTGTTAGGTGATGTCTTTCATTATCGACAACAATCATACTACACAAGATTCACGTTATGAAGTTTACAATTTGAACCATGAAACACAATACACAGAACAAATTAATTATTCCAATTCTTACGCAAGTCAACTATTCTACACCTAAATTAAAGAATAAACTCATCATTTGGTGTGCATAATCGTTGAATACCTCTTATCACCATCATGGCTGAAAACGAATTGCAACACTTTGATATCTTTGTCGTCCATTTCAAGGTTTCGTAGCTCTTTGAACAAACCAATTGCTAACCTCTGTCTTTTGTTTATTTGAATGTTGAATGATGGCTTTGCACCCACATCATATCCCTTTTCCTTTTCTATGGTAGCGCAGGTACTTGGCTTCAACGATTTTGTGACCTCAACTGTCGTACCAATATTCGTTTTCCATCTTGCTCAACAACAACCTTCATTTCAAAGTCAATTTTGAATAATAAAAAACATACAGTACTTGTTTACATTTATTTTAGGTTCAATTCTCATGTCATACCTTCAAACTTTGATCATTGTCATCCACCAAAGCTCCAATTCTATTCTTTGGAACAAGTACTCCTTCTTCCGTGGGATTGCCATCATTTTCAAGGCCTTCTACTTCTCCCAACAGTCCAGCCCATCGCACATTGCGTGCTTCCAGCATCTCACTTTTCCTTTTCCTTTTCCTTTTCCTTTTCCTTTTCCTTTCTAATTTGTCAACCCGTTCGTTTAATACACCAACTTCCCTTTGCAAAGCTGCAATTTCATCCACACATCCTCCTTCACGACTTACCTCATAGTCCTTTCTACTAATAACATCCCTACATCGAACACAAATTTTGTTAGTTTCAAAACCACCTTTCGACTTCACCCACATAATCACTTTCTTTGATGTTTTCTCTCCCCATACTGTTCCAAGACAAACTGACTTGTCAACATGTATTATGTCATGCACAATGGAATCAAGATAAAGCTCCTGAAGAAATAACATACAGCTGGCAACATAAGGTTCACCAGCCTCGTTCCATGAGGGCACATCGTCCACTAAACACTGATAACAAAACGTAGCCCAATTTATTTTATTTTATTGTCTTTGTGTCCCTCAAAGGCACTAGGAAATTCAGACTCAAACTTTCTTCTGCTGATGGTGGGCATAGCAAAGTCCCCAGTGTAAATAAAACAAATCCGACTAGGAATTCATCGTCCACTTTTACTGTTTCCTCAATTCTTTGCCAAACTTCACCCAACCATATCCTCCCGCCTTTCCCAACATACACTTCTCTAGTTGTGCTTCCGCCCGACCTTTTGCACCACCCACTAGTCTTAACACCATATCCACCGTCCTTGTAACCCATAATTCTTTCAAAATCACTTGGACCAATCCTCATAGTTTTTTCATGTGCCGTAATTGACTTGTTATACAAGTCAAAGTTTGGCTCCATAAACGAACAACGGGATCTAAACAACCAGGGACATGCAGAGGATAAGCTGGGTTCTTCGTTACACACCTTGTCAACTTAGGGTTTACAATTTCCTAAGAAGAAGAAGCATAACCCCCATTGATTTGGTTTTAGGAAAATGCCAAATCTCACTCAAGAATCCCTTCTTTTCACCTGTCTTTTCTTTTTTCTTTTTCTTTTTTTCTCTAACTTTTAGTAACCGGTTATCCCCTTTCGCTGGTTGCATTTCTATTTTAATTATATTCTCAAAATTTGAATTTTTGCATGTACTTAATATACGCATGCACTGAAGAATCACCCGAAAAAGAGATTGAGATTAGAAATTGTTTGTACCCAATTTTGGAGAATGGACCAAAAATGGTTCACTTCGCAAAAAAAAAATATATATATATATATATTTTAAAGGCCCAGGCCCAGCAACCTTTTTCTTTTTCTAAAAACCAAAGGAACCCCTTTACTTAAAGGGCTGTCAGTATAGAAGAAGTTAGTGAAAGCCCAGACTTTTGAGTCACGCTAAAGTTAAAAAAATTGATAACCATTATACATTGACCCACATGAGGGTCTGAAGGAGATTGTCACCATTAATGACGATTTGACCACCTTCTCGCTTAGCAAGAAAATAAGCTGTACAAAAGCCACCAGAACCAAAAAAGGACCGAGTTGCCAACCAGATTTTAGAGTACAAGGGACTCAAGTCAGAGGATTATCACAAGGGACCAACAGTTCTCGTCAAAAACGTTCCGTCATCCCACCTATGAACCAGTTCGGATCAGCGAATCAACAGCTGACTTCGGGCAGCAGCCAAATATCCTCTCTCAGCCTTCATCATTTGAAGCTCTCTCCTTGCCTATAAATAAGGAGGTCCACCACAGCAGAAGATGACTCTCTCTCCAAACTAGACGCAACGTCTCGAAAATACTTGAAAAACTCAAGATCTTTTCAAACCAGCCTGCTTAATTTCCAGATAACCAGTCGACAACTCCTGCGTTTATCTTTTGTTGTTCTGCCATCTTCATGGTATGATTTTCTTTTTAAAACAATCAGTTTGAATTCATGTACTCGCTCGACTGGATAGAGAAATCTCCAGTCCCTCTGTATTTTGTAATTTATATTTCGAATTAGTCAAATGGATTAATTAAGAACTCTTAACTTCCTCCTATCATTAAACTAAGATCAAACAAGAGAGATTGCAGAATCTATTTTAACTATTTCATTAAACACTTGTCATTTAATCGCTTTTATATAAATGTCTTGATAGGTTAACTTAATTTCCTGCTTTCACACTTTTAAACTTATCATTTGGGCCCAAAGGAGGGCTCTGAGTCTGAATAGGGCCATATTAGTCTGAGAGATAGAAAGTTGATTGGGCCCAAATTGCATCATTGGGCCCGAATTGACTATTGACCTAGCCCAAGGGTTACATGAGTTTCAAATCAGGTTGCTAAACCTAAACAGGGTATTACTAACCACGATCTCGGTTTTTCCCCTTACTTGACTAGGTATCGCTCATACTTGTCGAGCTGACACACATGAAAGAAAGAATCCAGGCCAGTACCCTCCTGTAGCACGGTGGCTTGAGCAGAGGTTCATAACAAGGCGCAAATACAAAGGAATAGCTCACTATCTCACTTACACCAAGTCTATTAGGCTGGTCTCATACCGAATAGTGGCAGACCTACAAAGCAATACACGAATTAGAGTAAGGAAGAATCGAAGAATAGGGTCCAACTCGATTCAACTTTCAATTTTGTACTGAAGATTGAGAAAATCCTCTTCGCGAGCCGAGAAGATCCAATCGGGGCATCGGTGTTGATCCGACGAACTCCCCACTCCTCCGAGCAAGCCAACCCCACGTCTGGTAGAAGGAGCGCCTGACGGAAAAAGGACCAACAGAAATATGTACTCTTTATCTTAAATACTTAGAGAATAGAAGGTTAATTTATTCTCAAAGAGACCCATCATATCGTTTGATATCGTCCCGCTATATTGATAGCAATAGCAACATAGTCTTCGTATTCTTATCAAAATCTTTTTCTTCGAAGGATGCAGCAAACCCAGTCACCACCATCCAAACGCAACCACTCTCCTTCCCTCCTCCTCCAATGCTCAGAGCTAGTCCTTTCATGGCTGACCCCACAAGAACTCGCCACCATCTCTCTCACCTGCTCCACCCTCCACACAATCTCTAAGTCCATCACTCTCCGCCGAGCCTCTGACGCCTCCAGAGCCTTCGAGAGTCATCCCATTCCATTCCACAACTCCGTCGATGAACACCCATATGCCTACTTCATCTACACCCCATCTCAAATTCCTTCTTCCTCTTCTCAATTTTTAGGGCGCCAATCTTGGGGCTCCAGTTCTTCTGCACACAAATCGAACTCGGTGGCTGGACTTGGAGTTCAAACGCTGCGTTTCGTGGACGAGTCGGGAGAGTGTGCGTATGGGTGTGAATGCGAGGCATGTGGGGAAGAGGGAGTTGGGGGTGATGGGTGTCCGTGTTTTGGTGGCTTTAACGACGTCGTTGCAGAGTGTGGGCCGAGTTGTGCGTGTGGGTTGGATTGTGGCAATAGGTTGACTCAGAGAGGGATTGAGGTTAAGTTGACGATTCTGAGGGATGGGCGAAAAGGGTGGAGTTTGTATGCCGACCAGTTCATTCCAAAGGGTCGGTTTGTTTGTGAGTATGCAGGTATTTCAATAACAACCCACATTTAGGAATTGGATTTTGTTTTGAATAATGTATATGACATGTTGTGTTATCTTTTTGGTACTGATAGTTATAGCACTTTAGCGCTTGTAAAATGTAATTGTTTCTAGTATGTATCCTGACGGTGTATGATTGGTTGTTTTGTGTTTTGTGTTAATTTGAAATTGGTTGTGACTAGAGATGAGAAAAATGTTTTGACTTTGCTGACATAGAATAGAACTGTAGACAGATTTTGAACTATATCTTGACTTTGTTGTCATTAGTAGATGTTAAGGTTCTGTTATTTTTCTAGACAACAAGCTTTCCAATTGGATTAGGATCACTCTTTTTTCTTGTTATCCTGTTGGATTGATAAAGTATTGTTCAGATATGAAATATTCCTATCAACAAATGTTGGTGCAGCAATTACTGAAAGGAAATACTATACTCAGCTTTTCTGTTGAGTAATTATCATGTATTCTGGCACCCACTTGCTTGGGCATCTGGAACACAGAAAGGGTGTAGTCTGTGAACCAAACACGTAGAAATCATGATTGTTGGATCATCATACGTTTGGCAAAACCTTGAAAGAATGATGGGAGGGCAGGACTGGAGGAAATTGAAGTTTGACAATAACAGATTAAGGAGCGGAATAGGGAAGTGTTTGGGGACGATGGAAAGGAAAGAAGAGAAGAAGTTCAAGAGAGTTTTAAGGAGCCGTCCTTTTTTCTTTCTTTATCCCTGCATCAACTGAGGTGCGGGGAACTGTAGACTGCTAATACGTCTGACCACACTGTTGTAAATGGTTAAAATTCACTAATGGCTTTCAGATGCTGCTGCTCAAGATTCTCCCCTGAAATTTTATTTGATGCGAAAAATCCTAAATTAGAAGTGAAAAATCTAATCCATAAAAATGGATAATGATACTTGCTTATGGCGTTCTGAAGCCTGTTCTCTGAGGCTTAGATAACATGTGCCCTACAAATGATTGCATGTATGTTTATCTGTATTCTGTATGCATGCATGGGAATTTGATCTCATTCTGTCTCTCTCTCTCTCTCTACACACGCACACACGTGTATGTATACATCCTGCAAGTTGGGTTGTATGTTTTAACATTTTTTACTTATTAATTGTTCTTTTTTTTGGGTGAGACAGGTGAACTCTTGACAACCAAAGAAGCAAGATTGCGGCAGCAGATATATGATGAGCTTGCATCAGGTGGTCATTTTTCCCCGGCTCTTTTGGTTGTGAGGGAGCATCTGCCATCCAGAAAGGCATGTCTAAGATACAATATTGATGCGACAAGAGTTGGAAATGTATCAAGGTTCATCAACCATTCGTGTGATGGTGGTAATCTATCCACAGCACTGGTGAGAAGCTCAGGTGCTTTACTCCCACGTCTTTGCTTTTTTGCTTCAAAAGACATAAAAGAAGATGAAGAGCTTACTTTTAGCTATGGTGAAATTAGGGAAAGGTCTAAGGGGTTGCAGTGCTTTTGTGGGAGCTCTTGTTGTCTTGGAATTTTGCCCTCAGAGCAGACTTAATTGTAGTTTTTTGCCTCTAGACTAAGTAGTCCTGTAGCTTGAATTCTGTCTTTATAGGATATGTAGGAGGGAAAGGAGCTGTTGGGGGCACATTCAGGATTGTGCAATAAATAGTAAAAATGAAAAGGGGAAAGAGAATGAGGAGAAGAAAATAGCACCATAAGTTTGTTAACTTATGTATAATACTTTAACTGAAATCTGTAATCGGTTTAACTTGCAATTTGCTATTCGGAATCGGATGCAGATGCAAATTTTGCAAAGTTAACGGTGGGCCTGTGCTCATGAGTTTCTTTTTCTGCTTTTATAAATGATTCCTCTTGTTTTTTCCTCTTCCTATCTTATTATTTTTCCTACCTTAAGGTCAATTGGCCAAGGTTATTAGGAGCTATGCAACTCAACAAAAATAGCTCTATGGTATCGAGTCTTTTGGTGGTTCAACTATGTGCAATATCATATTCCTTCTATCAAAGCTTTGTACCAGCTCTAGCTAGGATTCAGGGTTTAGAGTTTAGAAACCGGTTTTTTACACACACCTACACTGACAAAAAGATCATGTAGCATACTGGTCGTTGAAACAAATATTGAAATTAAATGAAAGAAAAGAGAGTGATCATGCATCTCATCTACTATAGCTTAAAGTTTCTGTGCAGACCAGGGCTGGTTTTGGTGTTTCTAAATTCTCTCTTCAGCTTAGGGCCAATTCCGTGTTGCTTCGAGTTTCGGTTAGCTTTGTCTAATGCTGCTGTTGATGTAAATTGTTTGGATACTAAATTCATAATGGATGTTTTGATTGTTGAATCCAATTTATTTCCTCAATAATCCCTTATATTAACTTTTGTGCAAGAATAACTTTGTCATCCTTCATCTCTTAAGAAGAAAAAAGAAAAAAGGTTGGTGGCGCCCAAGGCAAGTTCTGGGCCTAGCAGCCCCATTTAGGAACTAAAAGCGAAGTGGCCCAAACCTGGAGGAATGCTATCCCAACGATTGCAGCTACCCCAACTCCAAAGTAAGACGTGATATTTTGGTTAATGAGTTCCAGTGACTGTTTTTGAGGTAAAACTAACCTCAGTAATGCAAATAAGAAAGTTAGGAACAATATATTTAGCCACGTTAATCTCTCTGCATGTATGATTGACCTACAATCATTTGACTATATATTTGCCCTAGCAGAAGGACGACAAGTTCGGATAGGAGGTAACGTAAACGTATATTATAGATTGGGGAGAAGAAAAGAAGTATAGTTTTATGATAATGATCATGGATAGAGAAGCTACATACAAGCAATTGTAAAGAGAGAAATATTAAGGAAAGAAACACGGAATGCATTGAGTTATTATCTTATTATTCAAGTGTATCGATCATTGGCGAACATGAGGGGAACTTGACTCTCTTCCTCGTCATCTTCTTCGTCTTGGGATGGCCTTGAAAGCTGAAGAGGGTGGCTTTGTGAAGATGGCGCAGTCTCGGCTGCAAGGTCAAAATTAGAGGTGAAGCTGCACATGTTGATGAGATTAGTGGAAGCAGAGGAGTTGTTGGAGTAGGCAGGCTGCAACATCAAAGCCATGTTCTGCTGCTGCTCATGTTGTTGTTGCTGTTGTTGCTGCTGCTGCTGCCGCTGCTGGGAGCTGATCTGAAGGGCATTTGCAAATGCAAATCTACTGTTTATCAGCTGAGTTTGCACCATTGCAAGCTCGGCTTGCAAAGATGCAACCTGGACATTAATGACACAACAGTTAACTAATTAATTAATAGATATTGTAACTGTCCTTTAAGATTGGTCATGGAGCTTCAATTATATATGTGAACACTAACGCCATCTTATGAACAAAGGGTGAGAGAGCTTGTAGTTTTCCCTTTTTATTTTTTATTTTTGGAAGTTTTTTGTTTTATTGAACATTCGTAGTCCATGAAATTTGAACTCAGGACCCTATAAAAACTGCTAGTAGAGGGAGCAATTGATAATGTTTGGTGGCTATCAATGTTGAAGTATTGTCAAAAACCCGTATGGAAAGTTTTGTAAGAAAAAGAAGTAAATTTATCTAGCCTGGTTTGTACTTGCAACATCATCTCTTATCTCATGACATTAATTGACCTATAATTTGATTGGAGAGAGAGAACATATATGGGTGTGTAAATGTGTGTGTGTGTGTTTTGATGATTAATTAAATAATTAATTAGTAATATGGTTAATATATATGATGAAACCTGTTGTTGCAGAGCAAGAATGGTTGAGACACAACCAAAGACGGGATCAGCGAGCCTAGCTTGAGCCTCATAAGAAATGGTGACGACGGCATCTTGGCGGCGGTTCAAGGGAATGTGCAACAAAAGCTTTGACACATTACTTGCCCCAAACACCTTGTGCACCGCTGCAAAGCGTGCAGCTCCTTGGTCTGAACCAAAATGGGGTGCAAATATGCACCCACTAATGCACTTCCTCCTCAGAAACTTGCAGGCTCCACATGGAGCTGCACCACCTACTACTACTGTACTGCTTGTACTAGAATTGTTTGTCGTTGCCGCCGCCTCTGTGTTAGAAGTAGGCCTTCCAGCACCGCCGGATGTGCCCTTTCTTCTGCTTTCGGACGTGCAATGATCTCCGTGTACTGGCTGATCAGCCATCAAGAGCGAATGGAAATGGAAGGATTAATATAACAAGTTGGCTGGCTGGCTAGCTATATAGCTATAGGAAGGTAAAGGGTTTTGATTAATATTAGAGACTTTATTAATTTTAGCTGTAGTGCACGTTAGTCTCGTGAAATAGTTGGCAAGCTCAATGTGCTAAGCCTCTCTTTCTTTGTTTCTTTGTTTCTTTGTTTCTTTGTTTTAGAGAGAGAGAGAGAGAGAGAGAGAGACGTTATGCTTGGTGAAGTTGGGGAAATATTGAGTGAGTGAGTGAAACGAGTCTACTGCATGGAGTGTGTGAGGGGCACGTGCAAAAGCAAAGGGTAGGGCCTACTGGCTTAATTAATTGATAATTAATTAGCTAATTATATTATATATATAATGGTGTTAGTTTTAAGTCCAAGTTGTAAAATAATAATAATAATAGTTGTATGTATGGAAGTTGTAGAAGGTTGTGATCATGGAGGGAAAGGCACAAGATTTGTATTGCCCGTGGCGTGTGGGATGCATAAAACCTCAAAGTGCATGGGTGTGGGTGGGTGGGTGTGTTACATGTCATGTCATGCATACCTCTTTTACCTTTATTAACACTGAAATTAAGACAAAGCATAAGTACATTGTTACAACTCACACCTTTTTTTTTTCTTTTGTAGGAAAAGATGGTTACAACTTACACTTACATTCCTTATTAAAAAAACTCACTCACATTTACATGCCTATATGCAATCTTGCAACCTATTAATTACCTTCCCCTAGTAGTATACGTGCTTGTAAATCGATTTGTATATCTCGTAGAATTCGTTACCTTAATTAAAAGTTGTATTACTTGATTTCCGTATTGAAGTATTGCACTAATGACATACGAATCAGGAAAATCGGGAATACGAGATAACTTCACTTGGAGTGCAGTAGGGTAACTTGAATCTAGGATTGTTTTGTACAAGGGAGAGGATCGGAAAGGAGGAGGCAAAGTAGGTCTGCTTATTGGCAATACAAACCATGCTGCTATGTATTATAGAAAACATCTGAGAGTCCTTTTCAACAATGGAAAGTTCTAGCTATCTACTGATCTACATAGATTTCAACTCATACGTAAACATTAATTAATTATGAATAATGTGACAAGATGTATATATAGACGGTCAAAATTAAAGTGATTCTTTACACTCCTTTTCTGTTGGATTTGGAAACCAATAAATCTCAATTGATGGGTTCAGTAACCTATAAAGTCATTGTTTACACTCCCTTAATATGAGCAATGTGAAGGATGTGCTCTACAACCATCAATTGTCTTTGTATAGCTAGCTATGGCGTGGATTCTCAAGGATCACAAAGGAAACGGAAAGCTTTTAGGCAACATGATTGGGGCATTAGGCAGGATGGAGATGAAGCAGCTAGCATAACAAAAAGACTCCTGTTGACAGAATCTTCTTTTATTTTACTAGTGCCATTCCCTCTGCATTAATCCATAACTGACATCTATCTGCAGTCGGAAAAATATATATATATATATGGCTAAGGAACCTGCAACTCACCGCTAATAGGTGAGGCGTGAAGGAATTGAAGGTGAAACCGGAGAGCCCTCACTGCTCTGGGATTCTCCTCCCTGCCATGCATCCTGAACTTGTTCAGCATACTGCAAGTTCCACAGAACATCCTCAATAGAAGGTCTATCTGCTGGATCCTTACACAGACATCTCACACAAATTTCCATCAGCGTCTTCAAGGACTGATCCAAGCATGTCTGCCTAACTAGTGGATCAACCATGCTTCTTCGAGCTGCTTCATCAGCTGTAAGGGCCACTTGTAGCTGCATGGTGTTAATGAATGTATGTAAAATGATTGGGTGTGGTATAACTTTCCCAAACCCCCCTAATTCATAATGCAGGGCAGGAACATTTTCTGTTCTACAAATACACCAAATACCGATTTCTAGGAAAGGGAAAAATAACAATTATTTTCCAAAAAAATTGAATTCCCAGTTGTAATAAGTCTGAAAGAAATCTCCTAAGCATAGAGGTTTATATCTACCAAGAAGACCAAACCAAAACTCTGATTGTGTCTTTGCCGCCATCATGACTTTATATTTTATTTTAAATATAATTAGTTCTTTCCATCCTGAAGGTCTTGTAATGAAGTCTGATTCTAAGTTTAATCAAAGGCCTGGTAAGACCAAAGTAGGAGGTTCCTGGTAGAGAAGGTGATTGGTGTGAGGAGACTATGTCGGGGATTTTGAATCTTGATAGTAGGAGGTTCCTGGTTATTCTTATTAGCTCAATGATGGATTGATTTGTTGAAAGTCTGTCTTACAATCCAAACGCACTGGTTGAAGGGATTGGTTAAGCTAGTGTTCAGTTGCGGTTGAAATTAGCCATGTATTAAGTCTTCCATGGAAGGTCAAAATACATAGTGGGGTGGTGTCATAAGCTTTGTGAGAACATTATATATATTTCTGTCCAAGGTTTGTATCAATATTGCTGCTAACGCTGCTAATATGTTAACTAAATTGGTTCCCTAAATGATGTTCAGGTCCATGTCATAGGATAGAGTAAATTTTAAAGTGATAAATGTCTAGAACCGATACAACCATGTCTTTTGTTGATTTCAGTGACAACAGAGTGCTTGAAGAAAATATAACAAAAAGCAGAGTGCTTTTACCTGATCTTCTAAAACTTCCACTTGAGTCTCAGACTTCACTGGTCTGCCTTTGATCATTTCCAGCAATATTACTCCAAAGTTGTGAACATCGGTCCTGTCATCATGCTTCATCCTGTCAAGCAACATAGCACAATGGTTACAGTTTACATGTAACTGCATACATGTTAACGGAATAATCTACATATGATTAGTAGGGGTACTTTAGGTGATAATAACTAGATGTAGCTCGGGACCTCTCTGTGAAGGTGGCAAGAGGTGACAAGGTGTCAACAAGCAGAAGGACTAAGATTATCATCAAAAGTAATAAAATTTATCTGTTATGTACAAGTCATGAACCTCTTGACCTATTATGTTTGCAGATTGCCTACTCGAAGAAGTTTTTATTTGGCTTGAAGACCTTTTAAGGGTTTCACTATTCTAGTATGTAACTTAAGACATTTAAAATTTTCATTGCAAACCTTGAACCGCCACTGGAAGTTAAGGATCCGCCTGAAGAAACTCCTTGACCACCCTGCAAGGATGAGCTGAGCTGAAAACCAATTCATAATGGTTGCTTCGAGAAATCAAATTGACAACCCAATTAACTACAACTTTCTTCTTACCTGTTCCATACTTTCTTCTAATATAGGAAGGTTGTAACTGCTAATTTTTGCAACAAGATTCTGATCCAGTAAAATGTCTGTTATTTTAAGATTATTTGAATATATACCAGGAATGATCCCTGTGTGCAAAAACTGAATGCCCTTTCCTATGCCTATTGCAGCTGCTATACGTTGTGTCCACGTAAGTGATCGTCTGGGATGTCCCTCTTCCAAATTATAAAAAATAAAAATAAAAAAAGAAGAAGAAGAATATAACATTAAAAAAAATATCACATAAATGTATGAAATTGAAAGGAAAAGGTTCAGGATGGAGGAAACAAGTGTGGGTTAGTTGTCCCTACAGTGTAGTGCTTATGGAAAAGAATTTGACAGAAGTTAACCATTGGCTTATGTAGAAAATCAGATAAATCAGTGCCTGAAGTATCGACTAAGAAGTAGCCCGGATTCATATTCCAACAAATGATGCTTACTACTCAGAACAACATGTAAGCAATATTGGCTTCAGAAGAACCCTTCAAATAATTGGTCTGTAAGATATGTAGACTTATTTATATCAATGAAGTATTAAAAGTAGTGCAACTTCTGTATCCTCCATCCTGAGAAACTGAATGAAAGATTGAAATGAATTACCAGAGATCCAGCTTCTTAGTGTGCCATTCGGTACATATTCGAAAACAAGAAATATTCTGCTGACACTAGCATCATCCAAGTAACACTCAAAGCAGTGTCCAAGAGCACTGACCAAGTGGCGATGTCTCAGTTTCATAATTAGCTCTATATGGGGCATGAAATTTTGCGTGCTGTGACTTCCTTTTATTTTTAAGCATCTGATAGCCACAAAAGAACCATCCTTTAACTGGCCTCTGTACATCTGAGATCATGAGGGACGAAAACATGAATTTAAGATCTATTGATGCTAATAGAATATCAACAACATTTTTTTTTTCTTTTTTCTATTCAAGAAATCTATAGTTTGTCCAAGCAGTGCATGATGGTAGCACAGATGCATGTCATGATACATTCAGCTCCATTGAAATACCAGGTCTTAGACCACATGACAATGAAAAACAATAAAGAAAAGATGTATGTAAAAGAAGTTCACCCTTTCAAGCACTGGTATACTATGAAGGAAAGCATGATGTAACTAATCAATGCTTCCTAAAATCAAAATAAGCTATCCTCAGTTGATACAAAAAATTGAACGATAGCACCAGGAAACAACCAATTATTTAAGCTGGGAAGAATTTCTAGGATGTGATTAATAGTTAATCACACCAAACTGCATTCAAAAGCATCAACAAAAACTCATCAATACCACATACTGCTTCAACAAGAAAAGTAACATGTTTATGTTATATACCTGTCCGTGTGAGCCTTCACCCATGAAAGTACATGTATCAAAATTTTGTGTAGCCTCCTCAAGTTCCTCAAATGAAAAGGTTCGATAACCTGGAAGGCCAAGCGCTCCCATCTTCATTGTTTGAGATAAATATCCTTTAGGTGAAAGCAGAAGATCATATTATTAGACATTTTGAATACGCTGGAAGATATAGCCAATCAGCATCCAGGATTTGTGCTTCTTTGCGGCTCACATTAATTAACGAGTTTTTTTTTTTTTTTTTTTGCCATTACAGTCTTTCCAACTTCATCTACAATCATATCTTTGTTTGATATAGCTAAGCTAGAAAGAATCCTATGCCTGAGAACAAGTTGCTATTGCTTTAAAATAAAAGATTCATCAAATTTTGTGTGTGTGTGTGTGTGTGTGTGTGTGTGTGTGAGAGAGAGAGAGAGAGAGAGAGAGA